TCTATCATGATAACTTATAAAAACTTTTACTATTTTTTTTTTTCTTAAGTGATTATTTCTACATCTCAAGAATACTCTTGTTATTTTGTGTATTTATCCAGTTAAGTTAGATCACATTAATTTATTTAACGTCTTTTGAGACATAGAAATAATCAGTTAAGAAGATTGCAAAAATTTTTTATAGAAAAAAAGAATTATTACGCACATTATCTCCATGTAAAGTTTACTTTCACATTTCTTGTTTAATACTCAGAACACTCTTATGTAAAATGTTCCAAGCCGATACTGACCGGACAGAATAGTGTACTTCAGAGCCTCTTGAGCTGCCATCGTGACGGCAAAGCTAAAGAGGTAATCCATGGCCTTTCCGAGATCATGAAGGTAAGATGATTCGTACCGCAGACAGTACTGCTCCCTTGAATGTAGCAGAGTATGCCATGGCCTTTGAAAGGCCTCTGAATAAAATTATATTAAAGGCCTTTTTAATGATTTTGTCAGATGAACATAAAGTTTATAATTTGTGTCATTCTACTAAAACACTACACTTGATAATTTGTGTCATTCTACTAAAACACTACACTTGATAATTTGTGTCATTCTACTAAAACACTACACTTGATAATTTGTGTCATTCTACTAAAACACTACACTTGATAATTTGTGTCATTCTACTAAAACACTACACTTGATAATTTGTGTCATTCTACTAAAACACTACACCACACTTGATAATTTGTCATTCTACTAAAACACTACACTACACTTTATAATTTGTTACATTCTACTAAAACACTACACTTGATAATTTGTGTCATTCTACTAAAACACTACACCACACTTGATAATTTGTGTCATTCTACTAAAACACTACACCACACTTGATAATTTGTCATTCTACTAAAACACTACACTACACTTTATAATTTGTTACATTCTACTAAAACACTACACTACACTTTATAATTTGTTACATTCTACTAAAACACTACACTACACTTTATAATTTGTGTCATTCTACTAAAACATTACACTACACTTGATAATTTGTCATTCTACTAAAACACTACACTACACTTTATAATTTGGTACATTCTACTAAAATACTACACTACACCTGATAATTTGTGTCATTCTACTAAAACATTACACTACACCTGATAATTTGTGTCATTCTACTAAAACACTACGCTACACTCGACAATTTGTTTATGAAGTTCACATATAAACTAGAAGAAACAACAAAAAATAATTAAAAGTAAATGAAGATAGTCAAATTATTCAAAGAGCAATTGTTCTGGAAAACTTTTAAAACACTGAGTATTCTTTATTCTTTAAGAGCATACATTGAGTTAATTATTTTAGTTTCCAGAAACCTGTTTACTACTTTGGCAGTTGATTATCTAATACATTTATCACTTATCCTTTAATTAATGTAAAATATTCTCTAGGGTATAAAAGCATTTGTATTTAAACACAATCATATTTAATGCATCAATTTTTGCATTTCTTGTTTCTTAACTTACACAAATATAGAAACTCCAGTACACAAATCAAACAAAAACACCCGATTAACACAAAATTTGAGGAAATACACACACCAAGAAATTGAATTTGTTTACTCTTAACTATTTAATTCAACAAGTAGCAAGAAAAAACTTAGCGAATAATTTCCTGTGATTTATTAACTGACATAGATGAACTCAGAACTTCTGCTCAAAGCTGCACTATGGCATTTTATACATAACCATACCTACTTTGAACTGATAGACTAGAGGAGAGGAAACTGGTCAACAGCATCCACTGTCAACTCTGGGGCTACACTCTGCTCAAAGCTGTATTATGGCATTTTACACATAACCATACCTAATTTTGAACTGATAGACTAGAGGAGAGGCAACTGGTCAACAGCATCCACTGTCAACTCTGGGGCTACACTCTGCTCAAAGCTGTATTATGGCATTTTATACATAACCATACCTAATTTGAACTGACAGACTAGACTAGAGGAAACTGGTCAACAGCATCCACTGTCAACTCTGGGGCTACACTCGTTCCTCACCATATAATAAGATGTGAATCCAAAGGACTCAAACTAAGAACCCTTCATTTCACAATCTCGGCACACTAAACACCAGGTCATGCCCAGCCTTAATAAATGATGAAAGTTGATACAAAGCAGTTAGAATTCATTATTGGTGCCACAGCGTATTGAAACTATTTCATATCTAAGCACAGAAACTCATTTGTTCAAGACACAAAAAGTCTATCAATTACAAAATAATACATTTGGTTAATATTAGTGTTTTAATTACATATTTTACAACCAGTCAACATTATTTCTCATTCACAATGAATGACATGTACTTAAAGGAATGGTCAAAGACTGGGTGAAATAATGTTATTTGAGGCATTATGGGAAATATTTTTAGATGTTCCATTGCAGTTATTACATAGCTTAACAAGTTTACTGCTGAGCACGTACATGTGCACCCTTAGCATTCATTCACAAAACACACGTGCGTCGTAAATACAAGAAATGTAGTTTGGTTTAAATCTAACACAAAGCTTCACAAGAGCCATTTGCACTACGCATCCCTAATTTAGCAGTGAAAGACTAGAGGGGAGGCAGCTAGTCATCACCACCTACCCCCAACTATTGAGCTACTCTTTTACCAATGAATAATGTCACTGACCATCAAATGATAATGCCCCCATGGCTGAAAGGGCGAACATGTTTGGTGGGACGGGGATTCGAATACGCGACCGACAGACTGAAAATTGAGCACCATAACCACTTCCAATGGCTTACACTTGCAATGTATGTATGTATTTAACGTATTCTTGTAATAATCCGATTAATGTGCCAAAACAACAACAAAAGCACCCAGATTATGAAATCTGATAAGGTACATATAGCAGAGAAACAATACAACATTAAGACTACTACTTAAGTACGATCGTTAAGCACGACACAGTGCATAAAATTCAAGACAAATGTTCGTATTACCACGACTCCATTAAAAACAAAACCTGATATTATTCCTCTATACACCAAAAGTCATTTTCTTAATTACCTAAACATCCTTGAACGTAAGTAGCATAACATTGTACATATGAAATTATTCATTATATTTTTAAGAGAGTAAGTAAAGTCTGTCCCACACCTGGTGACTTTTCTGACAACCAGCCAGAAATAGCCAGGGTTATATGTAGTTCATTTCCCTCAGTGAGAACATCAAAAGCAAATTCTTCAATATCTCCAACTCTCTTCTTCATTTTGTATCCTGTCAAACAACCACAGACAAAAACTAATAATTCACAAACTATTTTAATTCTGAAAATAGACTTTGCGTCAAAAAATATCCAAACATATTTTTATAACAAAACAAAATTGTAACTCTACAAACACACTAATTAAACTCCTAATTAGGAGTTTAATTACTGTGTTTGTACAGCTATAATTTTGTTTTCTTATAAAAATATGTTTGGATATTGTTTGACGTAAACTCTATTTTCGGAATTAAAATAGAAAGTAACCTATACTAAACTTAATTTACAAACTATCCATAATAACAGGTTTGTGAATTGTTAGTTTTTGTGTGTGGTTTTTAAATTCAAAAATGTAAATGTTATATTCTAGATTCAACAAAATACAACAGCAGTTTCATAATTATTATCAAAAAGCATTTTAGTTTATATGTTAAATTTGTTCTTAATTAGATAATATGTTGTATTTCTAGATTTTAAGATGAAACTCTTCAAAATCTTTAAAAATTTAGCAAGTACTTAAGCTTATCCTGTTCTCCAACCAAATATCAAGGATCCCTCACCCGTTAATCCTGCACCGGCAACACCGAAGAGGGAACCAATAATAGCTACTCCTGCTGCAGATCCCAATGCTGCAGCTCCTGCAGTTCCAATTACAGCACCGGCTCCAGCCGCCACAAGTGGAGCCGCTAGTCCACCCGTCAGACCTGAAGTACAAGCTCACTTTCAAACTTGGCAAGAATAAACTTAAGGAACACAATGGGCTATCTGTCCCATGCCCTCAACGGGTATCGAACCTAGTTTTTAGTGTTATAAGTTCTGGTATCAAACGAAGGGCCTCTTTTATTTATTGTTTCATTACATTTTCAATGGACATTTATCACTGGCTATACCAACCTATTCTATCATTAATAGCCTTGCAATAATTAAAAAATATTTTAAAACGTGTTTCTAAAATCACTCTTGATACTTCAAAGTAAAAGGTATTTTTAACAATAAGCCGAACTTGATAAAATATTTCTTTTCTTCTACGAAATATGTTTATAATATATATATGTTTATTTCATAAACAGAAACGAAAAGTGTATAATTCAGTTTTTTGTCTGCTACATTTTACAATTTGAGAAGATGCATACATGATAATTCTCATATAATTCATCTTAATAGAAAGGAAGATGGGGACTTTTTAAAAATTCATCTTTAGAGAAAGAAAGATGGGGGACTTTTTTAAAAATTCATCTTTAGAGAAAGGAAGATGAGTAAATTAATTAGATGCTGCTTCAAAAAGAAAAAAGAAATTATTCTGCTTAAAACTGATTTCCATACATATCAATGTACAGCTCTATAAAAAAGTACAATGGTCAATATTATATCAATGTATAATTAAAAGCGTGTGTGTGGTGCTTTAATCCATCTGTCTACCTAGACTGAAATTTGATACTTCAACTGAAATGGCACATACAAGTGGACTGAATGTTATGGTCAGAGACCTCTAGAGTTTAATTATAGCCATACCGAACAGCAAGAACAACCAATCAGCAGCACCTGCCACCTACACAACTATTCTTAACCAAACTCTAGACTTGACAGTTGCGTTTATGAGACCAAAGCCACTGGTCCACACGCAGTCCAAACATGAAACAAGAGAATGAAAGTGATACACCATAATATTAGAACTAACTATTCATAGTTTTGTTTTGAGTTTACTTACTGATTAATTACATGAGACCAAAGCCACTGGTCCACACGCAGTCCAAACATGAAACAAGAGAATGAGTTTACTTACTGATTATCTTGTTTGTTTGTAATTAAGCACAAAGCTACACAAGGGGCTATCTGTGCTCTGCCCACCATGGGTATCGAAACCCGGATTCTAGCGTTGTAAGTCCGCAGACATACCGCTGTGCCACTGGGAGGCTTTACTGATTAATTACATTATATACAAGTTACAGCTTTTACGGTAATGTTGTACCTGTTCTAAAACAAATCTTACCAACTGTAAAAGTTGTATGTAAAAAAAAAAACCTATTTTAATAGCAGAGCAAACACCTTGTATAAAACTTTCACATACTGATTAAGTTATGAAAGTAACCTACCAATAACAGCTCCCCCGCCAACAGATGCTAGTCCGATCATAAAATATTTTTTGAATTTCTTATTACGTTTCCTTTTGGCAGCATCTTGCTTCTCCTCACTGAAAAGATGATAAATAGAAAAAAATCTGTTATAAATATTGGTTACACTGCAACGAGCATAAACATATTTTGTAGTTCAGCTACAACCAGCACTGTTTCCCCCTATGACAGTAATAATCTTTTCAAACTTTTTTTTCTCTTTTAATTTTTTATTAAGATAAAATAGATGGATTATTATCCCCCCTAAGGGTGAGTTCAATGGATTATTATCCCCCTAAGGGTGAGTTCAACTAAGATCAAATATAAAGACTCCAAAAGAAAAGCATCTCACAATATCACACTCTAAGAATATTTTATTTTATTGAGATTTTTGACTCAAAATTTCACTATCGTGTAAAGAAAGTGCAAATATGAATTAATCCCTTCTACGTATATGTATATCGACACATACACACAGAACTTGTTATCCTCATAAACCATATTAATATCAAAAACTAATTCGCTGAATTAAAAGAGGGAGAGACATAAGTGTTAAGTGAATATTGTTTTTTATTATCACACTATATGTACTTACACGTACTCACAACCTCAGTAATGTTGACCAACTCACAACCTCAGTAATGTTGACCGACTTAACCCAAAACTTCCATCAGCTTTTTTAAACAAGTTTTTTTAATCTATTTATGTACTAAACTCCTCGTGTGTCCACAACTTTGTTGGTTACATGGCCCCGAGTAAATACAAGTTACACACACAAATAACTTAAGACAACCTTAATCTTACTCATTACTATTAAGAACTTCTGCATGTTTAACATAGAAAATGAAAGATTTCATCCAATATTTTATGTAGGTTCTTAACAACGAATGTTCTAACGGACAAAAAAATAAAATTACTCAATATGTTACAACAATAGTTTTTAAAATAATGACCAAACCTCCAAATTTGAACAAAAAAAACCAATTAAAAATCACAATGAATGTTACTTCCTGAAAGTCTGTGTATATTATTACTATAATGTCAAACTGAAAATAAGAAGAAACACTTACTCTGACTGCTGTGGACCATCTTTAGACAACATTTCTACCAATGAGTCTTCATACAGTTCTACAAGTGGAAGTGCCACCTTTAACAGCCAGGCAACATGTAATATGAGAACTCGCATTCGAGCATCATAGACCCCTGGTTTTTTGTAAAGAAATAATTATACAATTAAAAAACCTTTTATTACTGAAACCACAAATTGACTAACATTTTCAACAGATCTACTTAACATACATCTAGAGGAAAAAAATTACAACTAAAAAAAATATATATAAATTTTTTAAATTGCATTTGCTTTGAAATTGTATATTCGGTACAAAAAATTGCAAAGCAAAAATTAAATATCTATAATTCAGTAGATTAATGAAAAAGTTTAAATGTAAAGTCACATTTTCAGTGATAAGACAATGGTAAATTAAAGCTGACAAATCATAGCCTTTTAGTTATTTTATATTTACTTTTTTTTATCATGATTAAGCCATTTTTAAATAGAATTTTTAAATGTTACTGTTTATGTGGTGTGGTTTCTACATCATATACATAAGTGAACCCCTTTTTTTTTTCTATACTTCAGAAATGTGTGAAAATATTGTAAAAATCTAACATTTACTCAACCTCAAGTTATCTGTATCGTTTAAAGATTGTTAAAGCATCATAATGTTTTTTTTTCAAAAGAAAATGTTTTGTTTGCAATGTGGTGAGGGTTACATAGACATTTTGCTTATATACATGGACCTTTAGTAAAATATAAATTTATCCTATTATACAAAATGAATTTCTTACTGATGGTACCCTTCTTGAAATTCAATCAGTTAATATCCTTCTACAATGATTACCCAATACCACAATGATAACATTCAAGACTATAATTTGCTGTATTAAGCCTACTTTATACATTCTGATGCAGCGCTATATTAAGCCTACTTCATACATTCTGATGCAGTGCTATATTAAGCCTACTTCATACATTCTGATGCAGTGCTATATTAAGCCTACTTTATACATTCTGATGCAGTGCTATATTAAGCCTACTTGATACATTCTGATACAGTGCTATATTAATATTATTTAATATGTAATATTACAAGGTGTTTGTGCACATAAAATTGTATCATTCATTATGAAAATGAGAGTTTTAATAAATATCCATCAATGTGTTAGTAATCAGAAAACAACATATACAAATATCTCAGCCAATGAAAAGCACCTAAAACAGCCATAAAAAGTACAGGTAACTATCAAACGAGTATCTGATTTCTGTACACACAACTTTAGACAACATAGCAAGGTATGTAAAAGCATTTTAAATTTCAACTATTTACACTACCTATTAGTTATTTTTGAATTATAGATGTAACGTTTACACACTTTTCGGTCTTAAATACTAGCTAAAAAACACACAAAACAGCATAGCTTTGCTATGAAAAATAGGCAGCAACAATGTAAATGTACGACAATGTATAAAGACACTGGGTGTATATTCGTTAAATATAGGTGCTGTAGATGTATTTTTTTCTATAACACTTCATTTATAGACAGAAACAAAGAGAAAATACCTGTTATTAATCCTGTTGGCAGAGGCAAAAAAGATGAATTGATGAACAATTAAAAACATAATTCAGAAATATTATAATATAACAACATTCAAGGAGTTAGTAAATGACAAAGAATGATGCTTTTGTACCGAATACCACGACCGTAACAAAGGTGAAACAGTAAAAACAGGTAAAATAAATAGTAGGATATAATTATGGGAAAAATATATATATATATATTAAACATAATACAGACACATAGTTCTGAAAATAAATATTAATGGCAGAATTTATGTTGACGTAGTAGTAGTGAACTAATCTAACTATACATATATTTATTGAACACCAGTCATACCCAGAATATACCATTTGTATATAAATATTTTACCATATAATCTTTGTTTAATCTCACCAGGTGTGATTCTACTTATTGTTAAATTTCCAAGTCATCATTCAGCAATACTAACACAGAGCTGGAGATGATGGTTGCTTTTTAGTTGTAAATCAAACAGAGTCTGACACAAATCATGCAAACTGTCGTATCAAATTTAAAAAAGGTATTATCAAAAAAAGGTAACTTAGATCGGGGGGGGGGTAAGTCTTTTGTGATTTTTGGAATCTGTACATGTACTGAAATAGACTCACCAAGGTCGATCTCACAATATATAAAATTTTGGCACATAAGCTTTGATAATAACATGTAATATCAGCTTTTACACTTTCCTAACTTTTTTAGATACGTGTGCAAATTAATATTTCATGACAGTGCCTTTCAATTAGTACTTTATATCAGTAGGCCCATAAAGCGAGGTAAAAAATATGTTAATTACATTCCTCCTAATTATCTACCTTGGACTTGTTTTCCACAAGTCACTTTTCAAGAGGCCTTCTGTTCAATACCAGAACTTGTTAGTTTGGCTGGATGATGAGAGACAAAAAGATTCTCTGAAATGTTCATTTGTATCTGCAGTACAAAGCTTTAAAAGTTACAGTTTAAATATTGAAAGCTGGCAAAGCATCAGAAACCAACAAGCTCAAAATCTGTGTTAAAAATCATATTAACTGCAGATGTGACACACAGATTAACTGCAGATGTGACATATAGGAGACAAGAGATAGATCTGAATTGCTATTTTTACATGCCTCTGGTTTGAAGTCTGTGATGGACAATTAAGAAAAAATGTGGGAAAAAACATCTTCAGCTTTGTTTGTTCTTCCCGAAGAAGAATAGTTAACTATTCGAGAATCGCTCGAGTTTTGGGTCTTATTTTAAGTCTTCAGCTTACTTGATTTTTATCCAGGTTTTAGGCCTGTTGTTTACTGATGCTTTGCCAACATCCATTTAAACCAAAGCCAGTACTTTATAGTTGTGGTGTAACCCAAAACTTACTTTGAGATTTTAAAACTTAAATAACTTTTACATTTTTCTTACAGAAACTTTGATACATAAGGAATAAATATTCTTGGAACTTGAATCATTAAAATGTATTACTTGCCAATGGTGATAGTTAATTCGTTATTCAACATGTCCATTTTCCTAGAAGTATAACACGAACTATATTAAGGTAAAGAAATGAGGCATCAAAAATGTTTTAGTACTACAAGCTTTTAGTGTTAAATGCTTACCACATAGAAAATGAACATTAGTTAAGGTTACGTCATACAGACCTTCTTTAACAGCTACAAGAATAAGCTCTTCAACAACTTTTAGGCAGTTCTCCTTTAGAGCCGGTTCTTCTCGAAGCAAAGCAACATACGTTTCAAAGTCTCCTCCTGAATCTCCTTGCAAAATAGCTTTCATTGCCGAGTCTACCTAAACATTGGTGAAACAACAACGTAAAACTTGACAGGAACTATCTAAGATCCACTGGCATTTACAAAGCGTGAAACCAGAGAAACAGGGACGTTTGCGCACAAAAAATAAAATAATTCATATTGTTCATTTCATAATAAGGTTTAAAAAAAATCATCCAAGTTCAGCTTATGTTTGATTTGCAATAAAAATAATACTGAAACAAAAATTCAACAAACTCTATAAACTCTATTTATAGTTCTATAAATAACGACTCTATATCGTGTTCAGTTTGCTTAAATGATTCTTAAGTACAGGGTGGCACAAAAAAGGTACCCATCATTTAATTTATACAACTTATGTATATCGATTCTAAAAGTTTTATTTGTATTTCAGATAACGTTGGAAGATGTCTAAAAATAAACCCAAGACCAGTGATGAATTAAAGCAACAAATCACAAATGCTTTCTATCGATTCAGAGTTGAAAGTTGTGTGACAGCATGTCAGGCACTCCGTCATAGACGTCATGATTGTTTGAATGCTGATGAAGCCCGGTTTGAGCATCTCAAATGATTCAGCAGTGTATATATACAGTTAAAATGTTGTATGAAATATTAACAAAGATTTTTTTACTGGCTTGTAGGTTCATTTACTGTAGTCATATGAGCATTCGAAATATGGGTAAACTTTTTGAGCCACCCTGTATAACTGCACATTTGGGCATTGTATATAATACTTATTGTGAAATCATTAGAGAATAAATGATTATTTTTATCAAGTTTGAGCCTATTCCACTAAATGTATTAGTTGTTATGGTCTAGGAAAGACAGAAAGATTACTATGGCCAAAAGCAATACACATTAATAGCTATAAAAAAAAAAGCCAAACTAAAGAAAAAATAATGATGTAAATAGCTTCTTGGTTAGAGCTACTCTTTTTACATGCATGTTTTAGATAGTGTTTAATACCCTTAAATATGGGATACTGAGCAACCCATGCAATGTAACACTTTCCAATCACTTGGACATGAAAGAAGGGTATTTACTGTTACGGAATACATTAGTGTCCAAAATAGTAAACTCTCCATGGAACTGCTAGAGTTTCAACTTTTCTTTAAGTAGCGTAATATATTGTTCAAAAGTATTATTTGACATATTACTTCAAGAGACTTTAAACAAATTAAAACATATCAAGCAACGTAAAGAAAAGATAAATGAAATCAATACAACACTGCTTTCATCCTATATTCTATTGTAATTTATATTTCTTTTTAAATGCTCAATTAATCAACATATCAACTATAGACAAATCTTTCAAAAGAGAAATATCGAAAATATTTTACCTGCTTTGGAAGTTCCAGATGTTGTCGTAAATACACGATGCATCTTTCACAATACGAGCTGAAAATAAATAAGAACAGTAACTTTTATATGTAAATACAAAAACAAGTCTTATATTTAACTACTAAACAAAAAAATATCTCAGGAAGAATGTCATGTTCTAAACTCAAAACTACTTCTTTTGAAAAAATAAAAAAGTACCTAAGACTACAGATTCTATTTCTAATCTGTCCCTTCTCTGTTTCTGTGGTAACGTCATCTTCTGGTGATAAGAAAGTTACACAGTTTATAGTTACAAACTATACATATAGTTTCATATGTACCTTACCATATGTAATAACTATCAGTCCAGGTATTAATACCATTACTCAGACATCACTGTGCTCTACACAGTCTTACAGATTACTCAGAGAAGGGGAAGTCAGCAGAGCAAAGAAATAATAAATGTTGATTACATTTTAGTTTTAAAATTAAAGACTATGCAATAGAACTCTTCTTCTTGACACTTGGGATGGGATTCAATCATTCCAAAAAAAAAACAAGACAAAACCGGAGTTAGGAGAAGCTCTGAACAACAAGAAATATGCAACAGCAGTTTGCAGTTAAATAAGTCTAGGTTTTAAACAATATAGTAATGAAAACATAACACAGTTAAAGAAAATACTGCTGAATAAAAATAAGGCAATAAAAAATGATTATGAAAATATAAATAAAACATATAAAAACGGTTAATATGAACCATTCATTAACACCAAAATTGTTCTTTAATTGGTGTTTGGGGGGGGATGTAGTGTGACAATTACTTTAAAATGAAAAAATGTAATGACCATCTTTATCCTAGTTCCCACCTACAAGCTTATCTTGATCTTAAACAGAAATGCTAGATAAGTGTTCTCGTGTATGTTCAGCAAGCATATGGTTGGTTTCTTCTAAGTAAAGGTGACTAAACTTGTCTCAAGTAATACAATAAATATTTAGATGTACAGGTGACCATTAATAGACTAGGCCGACTGTTCTGTGATCAGTGTAAAGGCTTTAGTGTCACCCGATAGTCGCTCGTCATTCAAAGGTCGACGAGGGAAAAGTACATTTTTAATGTTGGTGTCATTTACAAAGAACTAATGGTTATTATGGAACATGTGACTGACAGTACTGTCCTGTGTTTATCAACAGTGGCAGTCAGAGTGAGGTAGCATACGTGTCGTCGGAATCTGTAAACTGTACATGTTGGTGTTAGAAGTATGGTATCGTTTAAGGTAGCCAATCTTTGAAAAACTGATTTGAATATTGTGTGTATGTATAGATTATATTATGAAGAAAAATAGTTGGGTAGCCACATTTTGTCAAAGAAATGGAGCATCGTGATAGATTTGTTATTATATACTTGGTGGTTACTGCGTGTCCCGTGTCATCTGGTAAGTTCTGATTTGGGAATGTTTTCTCTTTACATACGGAGAATGACTGGAGTGGAAATGTTAGTAGTTATATGTGTTTGTTGGTGTAATGTACAGATTTTGTCATTAATCATCAAAATATTTATGTCAAGGAAGGAGATGATTTGGCCAGAAAGAGAAGATGTGTATCAGAGTGATGGGTGAAAGGATTTAACAAACTGAAGAATAGGATGAAGTTCATCACTAATGCATGTTGCTATGCTAAAAACATCATCACAGGAAGGATCCATTTTGGTTCCCATGGCTACATCCTGCAGTTGTTTATAGAATTTATTGTCAAAAGAAAAGACATTTAATGATAGAATTGGTTTGAGTAATCTGATTGGAGTTCTGGTAGGTGGATGTAGGGGATCCCTTTTGTCAAGGTAGTGTTGTACGGCCTTAAGTCCATCCTCGTATGGAATGGAGATACGCACAAATGTTATGTCAAGTGTGAATAAACCAATAGAATCCAATTCTTGGTCAAAATTCTCAATTTTTTGTAAGACATCAACGATGTCTTGATTGTAAATAGAGAATCAATAAACTAAGGAAATATGAATGGAATAGATATAATAAAAAATGAGTTCAGGATGGCAGCTGCACGTATAAACTCTGGGTCTACAGAGATTGTCTGGTTTATTTATCTTAGAAAGAAGATAAAATACCCAAAATCTAAGGTCTTTTATAATTAAATTTTTGGCTTCTAACGAAGTTCATGATTTTTTATCAATAGTTCTATAATGAACAGTCTGTTGATATTCATCAAGAGAAGTGTTATTACAAACAACATAGGACGATTGGTCCGACAGTTGTTGGCAAAAATTATGAAGATAAAGCTCCTTCTTCCAAACAATTACTGCCCCTCCTTTGTCAGTTTGTTTTATTACAATGTCATCAAGGCAATTAAAATTGTGCAAAGCATTTTTTTTTTTTGCCTTTAGTAAGGTTTCTTGAAGATGCTGTACTTGTGAAATTGAATATGTGAATTTCCTTTCAACGTTTCTCTATTTATTTCTGTACAAGAGATAGAAATATTGATGGTGGTAAGTGGTGTAGCTGTTTCTTGCTGTTCCTAATTTTTATTTGAAGGGTAGAAATATGCTGGGAGACACAAATGGTGAAAAAAAAATTTTCGTGTTTTGCAATGCGTGTATTTCCACATTTCTTAACAGGAAGAAACTTTAGGCCTTTATTACAAATAGAGATCTTACTATCTATTAGGCATAGATCAGGAAGTATTTTGGCAGTAAATTATGTTGTGATTATTGGTAAGTTGTCATGGTTGCTTTATGATGATGGTCCTACGTTCTGACCGAGATTAGAATCTCTCAACTTATTCATGGAGTTAAGATTTATGAGTTTCTTGGATTATAAGTTCTTCATCGAGTTATAATATAAAGAATTTGATTCACAGATCTTATCATGAATGCCATAAATAATACTTTGATCAGAAGATTTGTTTATTTGGCAATATTAACAGCACAGTTCAATTTTAAAAAAGTTTCTCTTTTGGAAGAAAATGTCCCTAAGTAACACAAACCAAACTAATAGAGATTTCATCAGTCTATTCTTTACCATAGCATTACCATGTGAAGAGAGGTAGTTTACAACCACTAAGCGATTAAACTTAGCTTTGAACATATACGAAGAAAAAATACATGATAATGAACCTGGTTTTAGATAAAGTAACTTTGAAGAGATGGAGACCAGAACAATACAGTTGAATAGGGTAGTGATGTAAGTAGTTTAACTTCTCATTACAAAGACTTTTATAAATTCACTTAGAAAGAGACACCCTGTTTAGAAGGATGCTTATGAAATCAGCAAATGATTTATATATAATCAGCTTCAAACATAAACAGAACATCCTGACATAGTCTGTCATAAACTGAAATGCTTTTGTTTCTAGCTCAAAAAAAAGAGTTTGCTTTAAAGGTCATCAATAAAATAAAATAATTTTTAAGGTGACTTATCTCCAAAAGTCAATTTTTTTTAAATCACTTTTGCATTTTTATGTTCTTTCAATACATACACATACACATAAATGACTGACAGCATGCACCTTATACTATAGTATATATACACAGCATATTTTGTAAAGTATACAAAACATATTTCTCCAAACTACCTGTGCACATATATGCAACCTGATACTTACTAATCTGTCTCATCTGCAAACAACTCATGCAGAGATAGAGCACATAAGGCACAACAGGAATAGAGTCCAGCATCACTGATAACATTTTTCAATGGTTTAAGAACTGGATGAACTGGTGGCCCTAAAGGCAAAATTAAAATCTAGTTTAGATATCTTAGAAGACGTAAAATGGTTTTTCGATAGAAGTTTGTTTAAACTGTTAGCACAAACATTCATTAGTTTGTAGGATTAAAAAAACAAAAACTTTCTAGTGACTTAAAATGTCTCTAAGTTCTAACAACAAATAGCATATCTATGATAAATCCTATAATACTTTGTGCATTAAAAAAAATTAATACACGTTTATATATATATATATATATATATTAGAAGCCTTCTCATGCTCTTTGCTGGAAGTAGTGAAATACATTGCTTGGTTACAAAAATAAACTTAAAACACTCTGCTGTGTGATAAGTATCATCATAGTTAACTTTTAATTCAAAACCATGTTCCAAAACAAACATTTTCAATTTAATTTATAATTTAATAAAACAAATACTATACTCCCAATAAAGTTCTAATTGGTGTAATCAGTGCTCATAGTCATAGGTAACCATCTAATCGAGCTAAATGCCCAGTTCTACTTGTCAGTTGTTATCTTTAAACTTGTAGTTGTACTTATAATCTTATATTTAATATAATAATTACCTTTATCAATAGAACACTTAACCAGGTCTTGGCCTAGCCAATCACCTGAAAATCAAAAAGAATGTTTTTGGAGAAATACTGTTTGAGAATGGCACACCCTCCCACAAAATATACAATATTATGATCGTAAAACTAATCAACTTACTAGTACTAGTAGTAGTAAATAAGGCCGCATATGGAAACTAATCCATTATTTATTACAATGCATAATATCATAGTGATATCACAACAAATAACCATACCATTATAATAGTGGATTAACTAATGTTGATTTTAAAATAAACTTTTCTTTAAATTTTATAAATATGATTCGAACTTTACTTTCCTTACCCTTAATTTTATCAGAAACACTGAAACCCAGAGCCATGTTTACATACTTTAGCGCTACCTACCGAAAAACAACAATATATACATATATATCCCTTATCTGGCGATTTTTGGATGGAAAAACCGGGGTGTTCGAGGGTTAAACAACCCTCTTTCACCCCACTCGCAGTATTTGGTGTAAAGTGATCACGAAGAAAAAAAAAGTTAATATGTAGCTGCAAGAAGAGACAAAAGACAGGTAGAAATGAAGGCGAGGGCGTGAGTGTGTTGTCGATAAATATCCCAATAAAAGACAGATAATCAGGGGGAGAAGGGATAAAAAATCCAAACTCACTTTCATTAGTCTGATTCGAAAACATATATATATATGTATAACATAAATGAATTTAATGTGCAGTGTATTTTCAATCGAATATGAGATAAAGCAAATAGATGCATTTAGAATTTTTATACTGTTCCTACTAAGATTGCATAAATAGTAGAATTTGAAAATATAAAAAAATAAATTTTCCTCAGTAAGCACAAATAAAACTATGATTCATTTTTGTGCTAGCCAATTTTTTATACAGCGCGTCAAAGATTGTGGACAAAAAGTTCAAATTGCCAGCGTTAACTTACTTCATTCCCCTTTTTTTAGGCTTGTTGATATCAATAAAAAACGTTCATAGAGGAAATTTCCAGCTTAAATTGACATTAATAAAAACTTCATATTCGAAATTGGCCACTCAAAGTAGAATCTTTTTTATTTCCTTATTAGCTGTTTATCCATCGGATATTTACATTAGGCCTATTATTAAGAGCTTTTGATTGAAGTTGTATTGTCGCTTTTGAAAGAAATGCTAATTTCACCATTCCATAATAAGGAGGAATGTATCGTTATTCATATAAAACAAATACATTTGTCCACATTTTCGAGCATGTATTGTGCCTGTTGTAGTACCACACCACAAATGAATGTTTATGGAAGGTTTACATTTGCTTGATCCTATTTTTATATGAAGACCTGCAGCGAAGTTAAATTAATCATTATTTCAAGAGTTAATATAACGATATACGTAAATGTTATTTTCCTTGAATATACATGACTCCACCAGTTGTTGACGAAAGTAACCTAAGATTGCGGGACAATTCAATAGGTTTAATCTGATTTAACAGTGTAGTATCATTCCTACAATCATATTGTACCGATGTTTTGCTCTCTTGCTTTAACAGCCACAAGTAATATAACATAACATAGAAGTTATCCAGTTAAACCAAGACTATTTGTGGATAAATATTTTGTTTATTTGATAGCACTTTTTGCTTCAATTCCGCTTTACTTTTACGGAACCTGAAATTCTGAAGATTCTTGTGACCGTTTGTAAGACATAAGTATACCACAGTGTAACCAGATGAATCATGAATTAGCAACGTCATTTGTGATTAAATATGTGGAAAGGAGGCATAATCTTATGGAACTGCAGAGCCCTTGGCTGTTCTTGAATTTTTTGTTTGTTTTTTTTTGTTCACTATAGGTGGCTGTTGTATTATTATTGTTTATATACATATATTTTTTGTTCCCTATAGGTGACCGTTGTTGGTTAATGTGATAAAGCATTGCTCTAACTTCTTCTAAAATTGCAGCGTCTTAAATTATGTTTTAATTTTTTCATAACAATGTTGTATTCTATTGTAAAATTTAATATGATATTTTTTACAATTTTTTATATTTTTTGGTCAGTAGATATCATTATTAACCAACAGACCTAAAATTTGCGATAAAAATTACGTAAACTATTGATTCTACCCCCCCCCCCCACACACACATTCCTTGTTGTTTGTCCATTTTCGATCCAAAATCCAAGGCGTGTCTCTTGCAAGTCACTGCCGAAGAGACCTATCATACAATACCAGATTGGATTGCCCAGTTGGATTCGGCAATGGAAACAAAATATGTTTTATGTTTTATTTTAAACGTTATTTCATCCCAGATTTTTAAAATAACTTGCAGGCATGCGTCCTCGCTTTTCTACTACGAACAGTGATTGAAAGATAATATGATAATTGGAAAATAAAAATAGAATATCTGTGGGGGTATGGAAGCCCTAAACCACAAGGTGGAAAAAACAATACCAAAGGTCTCATCTCGTACCTACGAGATAATAAAACAGTGATGACGTGTACCTATGGCGTTACTATTCGACAGTATGTGACAACTACCTTTCACAGAAGTGTTTCCAACGATACAACTTTTGTTTTCTCAGAGTGTTCTGTAGTGTCCTGAGACTTAGAAAATACCATGATAAATACTGAGAATTTCCAAAATTTCTGTTTGCTGTAATCCTAAGTGAAAATACAAGCTCCTCAGTTCACGTGTCATTTTTTCAAATTTTGTATAGTCAATTTGAGTTACATTATTAGTAAAAAACTATTATTACATTCCTAACAAACAGTATGAAGAATAATTACCTCATGTGTTATGTAGTCATACTATGACTTCTTATCTCGTACGCACGAGGTGAGATCTTCACCTTGCGATTAAAGACTTCCGTAAAAAAAAAAAAAAAAAACAAAAAAAAGGACCTAAAATTTGTGATAAAATCACGTAAACTGCAGATCTTTTTTTCCCACATTTCTATTAATTTGTCCATTTCGGATTTCAATCCAGAGACGTGTAAAAAAATACTATTTATGTTTATCCTTCGTCTTCCACAAGTCACATGTCCAACTGACGAATTCTGGTATCGAACGAAAGGCCTTTTATTTATCGTTCGATTACAATTTGAATGGACATTGTATACCCTCATATTCTATCACTAATAGCTTTGAAATTTTTAAAAATTATTTGAAAAGAGTTTCTAAAATCACTCTTAATACTTCGAAGTAAAATGTATTTTTAACAATAAGCCAAACTTGATAAAACACTTCTTTTATTCTACAATACTTAGTTCTTAAAACTACGTAGTTTAATTTGTAACAGAATACACCTTAAACTTGACAAGAAGACGACATTCTGCAGATTTAATAAGCACAGAATTATATATAAGTCATTCAGCTCAAAAGTGAAATTTAAAGGCCTTTGCTGTAACAATAGTTTTGTTTTGTTTGCTTATAGTTATATGAAAAGCTACTTATGTGCTGTGCTCTCAACTGGTATCCAATCCCGGTTTTTAGCGTTAAAAGTCCGCAGACTTACTGCAGTGCCACTAGGGGCGCCGTAACAACAACAGGTAATAATGTTGCTGTGGCGATGGTATTACTTTGGACTACTACTGTCGACACATTGTACTGAAATAATATATAAAATTACAATCGGTTATTTATTTAATCGTTACTTTCTTTTCTTCGTCATTAAGTCACAAATTATATTTTCAATTTTACCTTTGGTGGAAATATATCTATAATATAAAAATATTAAAAGGCAGGAATTCTTTCTCTTCTGCACGATTAGAAATGTTAACAGCACCGCATCATCCAGAGTAAATTACTGTAAGTTTTTCCAAAGTGAAATCAAGACTTTTTTTTTATTTCGATTCTTAATTATGAAATAAAATTTAACAGTAGTGGTTTATTTGGGGTTAAAAGGTTTTGTTTCGTGCTAAACATCAACTTTAGGTGGAGTTCTCAAGAAGAAATGACAACATTTTTCTCAGTTGAGTAAAAAAAAAAAAAGAAGAAGAAACAGAACTATTTCGTTTTTATTCTTAAGTAATTTCTTTCATTATGATAGCTTGGCTATCGAAGTACTCAGCAGGATTAGGTAGCAAGTTTAGAATTTGAAAAGAAAAGACAGGCTAGGCTTCAGTTCAAACAGTGTCGCCATTAAAATAATGAGTTTAGGATAACTTTGAAAAGTAAGGCATATTCATGTGTTCTACGTGCACATAATTATGACATCCTTGTAAACTTTATGTTGAAAGATCTAATTTAAGTTATTCGCCATTAGCCAGAAAATAACCGCCATTACATTATACAGATGAGGACGGATAATATCAAGCGCCACCTACACGATAGAAATATAAATAGTTTGTACCAAATATTGTTTTATTCCATAAATGCTCTAAACATTCTCTTTAAAAAATAAAAACCAGACCATATTTGAATGTGTATTTAACCCTTTTATTTAATCTCCAACCTTACAAAATACACATACACAAAATATACATAAATGTTCAAAATTGTTTCTTAACAAGCATTCCAAAAGTACGCGCTTCACATCATAGTTGCACAAAGCTGACCATAACAACATCTGACGGTAAAATATGTAACTAAACATTGTTTTCTTTCAGCCAAGTCACCTGTACTATTTGTGAACTTAATATAGTTCTTTTGTCATTCGAATAAGCTTACAGAAAAACACCACTTGAAATTAACTTGTAGCTTATAAATTACATTAACCCTGGTGTACATTTAAACCTTTGGAGCCCTGCGAAAAATTATATATATATATATAAAAAACCCTCTATTGCACATCTACCTTTGGTGCTCAAAACACTTGAATTCTGTAGTTTAATACTTTTATTTCTGGGCAACAGTTTAAATAAACCACGGAGTTATGTTTGCTGGTTCCTCAATTAAACAATGTTATTTCTATGTAACGTACCCATTTATAATTTAGTAAAACATATTGTGGAATATAGACATATTTAAGTAAGGAATTCAAACTTTTTTTTTTCTTCACCGGTTTTTTAGAATGCGTGCAATAGAGGGTTAAGTACCCAACCCTTCACGTTTTTTTTTTTTAATTTTTATTATTATTATTTTAAAATATTTCAGACTTGCAACGTTCGATTATATAAACAGTTTGTACTAAACATATAATTCAACTATCAATGACTCCAATATTAGGGTTAAAATCTTAAAACATGTGCGAAGCAACTCCACCTAGTTTTTCAATAGTTTTATCCGAGTCTGACAAATTATTTAGTTATATATATATAATAATAATAATAATAATAAAACACATCTAATTTTGATTGTGACAAATTTGATTTTACTGAGCGACCTTGAACTTCACACATTAGCAAGAGGTCATCGAGATTTAACATTATAGACTATATTTGTTTACAGGTCACATACTCACACGAGGACTAGTACGTCAGTGTACTCTAGGTATAGGAAAGCAAGCGATAACGAACGACGCCTAGAAATTAAATTTTTAAAACCACTTTCATTAACAGCAGCAACATTTTTTTTTTTTTACTAGATTAAAAAAAAATCAACAAGATAACATCTCAATTCGAATAACATTTGTATCGGTTAACATTTATATGAAATCCTAGAAATACTACAAAAACTACACAAAAATCACAACAAATCCTTTTAGTGGCCATTTTGAATGTATGTTGTCTCCTCACACACCGATACATTTTCCCCCTTTTTCTAATACATTCCACATCTATTATACAGACAGATTTAATAGTAAATTTATTGTTTATAGTTCTAGTACCATTTCATATAATTATCTGTACAAAAGCATCTTATTTCAATTATTAAAAAAAAACAAAAAAAAACTCTTAATGACGAGAAAATATGTTTGTACGCTAGATGGTGCAACGATCAACGAAAACTTTACTGTGTCAATAATTCATACACCGAACGACGATCGTATACCTACGATAAGGCTTTACAGTTTCAGATTTAAAAGGTAAAAAAATACTAATATAGCTTTAAAAAAAATTAAAATAAATGACAAAATCCCCTTTTCAAAGAAACTTTTCGAATATTGATAAAAGTCCGAAATAAACATAAGGTTAATTTCATATCTAGCACGTGGGTTCCTCATTACTGCACATTATTAGGGTTAGTTAAATTCTCTCTCTCTCTCTTTTTCTACTCCAAAAAAGGATTTAGAAACAAAAACACGCAACAAAAAAAAAACATTCGCATCTATACAAGCCCACTCTTCTCAAGAACAGAAGCCTTTTTTGTAACACATTCGTGTTCAAAATAAGGCCTTCTCTTTAACACATTCGTGTTCAAATACGGCAACTACACGCAGTTACAGTCAAAACAATCGTAAAAAAAATCAACAATTACACGGATTACTTTTGTTGTTTGCCCCCAAAATCCTCCTTCTTTCCACAAACTCTGGTTTAAGCCTATACTTTCCAACAGCTAGTTTCTTAACAACGATAAGAGCCATAGAGAAATAAAGTATATACAGAAAGTTTACTAAGCATTAACCACTGGAAAGGTTCCGATATTCGAATACAAATCTTCAGGTTAGTGTTAACAACAATATATTATCATGCAGGTAATTTTGTTACGTCTTAAATTAAAAAAAGAAGATATATACGATTGTTTTGTTTGTTTAAAGTGGTTTTTCTTTTTATTTGTTTTTTTTTTGTCTCATTATGGGCGCAATGGGGCGTCAATTTTATACGAGATTTGCCCGCTTAGCAAACTTCCTGTGCCATGTAAATCATCATAGTGAGAGAACCGACGTTTTGAATAGGGGTATCACCAAACGGAACATCTCTTCTGAGGATTCATGGGGGAATCGACCGGGCAGTTGAAACTCTCAGAAAATTCAGGAAGGTTAGAGAAGGTTCCGATCACTCTATAAAAGGGAAAAAAAAATTAAAAACTTGTACTTTTATTATCTTGACACAGAAACTAACATTAAACTTTTACGTGAGAACGGGAGACGTATTGAAAGTTTTCTTTCAGTTATCTTGTAAGCCATTGCAGGATTAAAACAAAAAGTAACGACAAGCGTTAAAATATGTAGAAGTTTACAAGAATGTGCTACTGATTTCCCATCATCATTACTTAATCATTTTCGGTACGTCTCCGAATAATTTAAAAAAAAAAAAAAGTATAATTGGTGTGTAACGGTAATAAGCGTTGCCTCGTGACCATAGAGAAAACAATAACAAACTTACGACCACCAGGGTGATGACTAACAGTTTGTAGCTTTCACTAGCTCAGGTGAAAAAAAAAAAAGGCAGGGTAAGGGACCTATGGCTAGGTCCAATCAAAGTGGGCCCGGCATGGCCAGGTAGTTAGGGTGCTCGACTCGCAATCTGTGGGTCGCGGGTTTGAATCCCCGCCCTTTCAGCCGCGGGTGCGTTATTATGTGACGATCAATCCCACTATTTGTTGGTAAAAGAATAGCCCAAGAGTTGGCGGTGGGTGGTGATGACTAGCTGCCTTCCCTCTAGTCTTACACTGCTAAATTAGGGACGTCTAGCGCAGATAGCCCTCGTGTAGCTTTGCGCGAAATTCAAACCAAACCTAATCAAAGTGTTGACAGCATTGTGTCACGATTTAGAACAGTGCGATTTGTTAAATATCTCTTTCTTGCTATTGAAATAAAACAAATCTAATCTGCATAAACATTTGAATTATTCACACAGTAACTCAAGCTATTGTGAAATGACAACCAATGGAGGCGGGTTGGTTGTTTTTAAATTTCGCGAATACTTACAGGAGGGCTAATCTGCGTTAGCCGTCCCTAATTTAGCAGTGGCAGACTAGAGGGAAGGCAGCTAGTCAACACCACCCACCGCAAACTCTTGTGCTACTCTCTTACCAACTAATAGTGGGATTGCCAGTCACATTATAATGCCCACATGACTGAAAGGGCGAATATATTCGGGGACGGGGATTCGAACTCGCGACCCTCAGATTGTGGGTTGAGTGCTCTAACCACCAGGCCATGCTAGCTTGGGCTATCAATGGTGGCAAACAATAATTTGGACATTCGGCAGTCTTAAAGGTGAAATTTATGTTAAACAATACTGAAAGATTAACCATACCTGAACTGGCTTGGACTGTGTGATCCTGACAGTATCCTCAACTTAAGGACCTCTGGCCGATATTTTCCACACCACACCTGGAATTCATTAACAACCAACTGTTACTGTATTGCTGGAAAGACATTAAAGTTAACATATACGGCTCAGTCTGTTGGATTAGATCATAATATACCCGTTTCAACTTGGAGGATTAGAATATAAAATTTAACACGTTCGGTTGGGGGAATTGAAAAGTAATGTACCCGGTTTAGTTTTTGTGAATTAAAGATGATAACGTTTCGACCAATATCTGTCAACTACTAGCTGTCGCATTGTTTACAACTTCTCCGTTTACTTTATATTTTGTATGTATATGGGCAAGCTTCTAAGCCTTTCTGCCGCCGTCTCTAATTTTGAACTTCTGACCAGAATGAAGGCAGCCAGGCAGGGGTACCATAACACCCACCATTTACGTTAATGGATTGACTGTCATTCATATAACAGTTTAAAGTGTGTGTGTGTGGTATCAAACTCCGAAATCCATGTCCTTCCGTCTTGTAAGACTAAACGAAAACAAGATTACACCAAATAATAGCTTAATATGTTCCTCTACACCAAGAAAACAGTACATCCAATAGGAGCAAGACTTTCCTACACTCCAAGACGACAACACAAAGACATTTTCCCTCCCTAACCACGAAGCAATAGGTTCAACTTATTTTCTTTCTATTATAAAATATTTGACAGATTGTTGTGAGAAACAGTCCTCTCAGTTTTCATAACCTTCACAAAGTAAGTTCTCGTATTATTGAAATCCCGTATTTTATTACTAAATATTGTTATTGTTTATTTGTAATTAAGCACAAAGCTACACAATGGGCTATCTGTGCTCTGCCCACCACG